CCACAGGCGCTGAGCCTGGTCTTGAACTCTTGAGCTCAAGCAATCCCAGAGTGCTGGGATTAGAGGCGTGACGTCCAGCCTCTCCAACTCTTCTTGGGGTTAACCAACTCTTGGCCAATGGGATAGCTTCTCTTAATCCACTTAGCCAATGTATACTCAAGGAACACAAGCCAGTATTAACACATTGGGAATGGATCACAATTAGACATTTATCAGATATCAAAATGCAAAACAAACTGTAAAATTATCTGTGTTTCTGAGGTTCTCTGTGTTGCTGCTCTAACATTTAGAGGCAGCAGAGCATGAATGGAATGTAAGTCAGAAAACATGAAATATCCTATCTCATTCACTTGGTAGTAGGACCTCAGACAACTCACTTAAACTTTTTAGCCTGCTGAGAAAGAGAGTACACACACACATTTTAAAATCAAGTCTCACTTGCCTTTAGAATTGTATAAATCTAGGATAGTAAAACCATGTTAGTATCAAAAATATTATAAACCCCAGTTCAAAAGTCCCTTTAGTAGCTATGGTAAGAAAATAAAAATTCTCTCAATCTATACTACAAATGCTGTGAGTTCACAGAAAATAAAGAAAAAGCATCATACTCTAAGGACCAGTCTCTCTGATGTTACTTTACCTTAGTTTCCTATTAGAAGAATTTAAGGTAAATTTCTTTATTCTTATTATTGGTCTACAGGGGCCACCCACAGGTGACAACATTATGCTAGGCCATCAGGCACCTCAGTGTGATCTTCTGTGAACAGGTTAACTTTTTATAGCATCAGCTCATCAGGACATCTTTATACTGATGCTCTTTTCTCTGCCTACCCAACTAAAAGCTCAGCATTGCCCTTATCTGAGTCGATACTCCTGTGTCTTAGCTGTTCTCTCTCCCTTTCTTATCCCTTCATTCCCTTTCACACCCTAGGAAGTCATGGTTGGCATTGGGGGCTAAACGTTACTAATATAAAGGTTGTTTTCCAACACCCTGCCTCCACAGCTCCAGAGCAAGCCCTGTGTTAAGTCTTACATTAAAACAAATTGGGGCCAGGCACAGTGGCATACGCCTGTAGTGCTAGTACTTTGGAAAGGCCGAGATGGGAGGATTGTTTGAGGCCAGGAGTTTGAGACCAGCCTGAGCAACGTAGCAAGACCGTTTCTACAAAACATAAAAGAAAAAAAAAGGAATTAGCATGGTGTAGTGGCATATGTCTGTAGTCTCCACTACTCAGGAGACTGAGGCAGGAGGATTGCTTGAATTCAAGTGTTGGAGATCACGGTAAGCTGTGATGGTGCCCCTGCACTATGGCCCCAGGCAACAGAGTGAGCCCCTATCTCAAAAAGAATGCCCCCCTGGAGAAAAAATCAGATCTGGATACATGTTTATAATCTAAGAAAGCAGGAGATAGTGGTAGACAACTGTGCCAGTGGTAGGATTCCTGGGATATAGGCATGGCCAGGGTCTGTAGCAAGGGAGGCATCTGCCATTGGAAGGGATGGCTTTCAACTAGAGGTCTGAAACAAGGACTGGGAAAGAATCTAAGAGCATTAGTTATGTCTACAACATTTGATATCTAATGTTGAAAGAGTATATGTTGGCCTTTGGGAACAAAAGCTCTCTGGGAATCAGAAAGTAAACAGTAGCAGCTATAGGAAAGGATTTGGAAAACTTGGGGAAATACTGGGGATCCTTCTGTTAGGAGTTTCCCAGTTTCCAGCTTATTTGGACTCTTGAGTTCCACTTTGTAAGAAAATGGATGAAAAGGATCAAGAATAGGATAGGGGCTGTGCACAGTGGCTCACACCTATAACTCTAGCACTCTGGGAGGTCGAGGCAGGTGGATTGCTTGAGCTTAGGAGTTCAGGACCAGCCTGAGCAAGAGCAAGACTGCATTTCTAAAAATAGCTGGGCATGGGGCGGCACCTGCGGCTCAGTTGTTAGGGCACTGGCCCCATATACCAAGGGTAGTGGATTCAAATCCAGCCCCAGCCAAACTGCAACAAAAAAAATAGCTGGGTGTTGTGGCAGGAGTCTGTAGTCCTAGCTACTTGGGAGGCTGAGGCAAAAGAATTGCCTAAGCCCAGAAGTTGGAGGTTGCTTTGAGCTGTGTGATGCCACAGCACTCTATGGAGGGTGAGAAAGTGAGACTCTGTCTCTAAGAAAAAAAAAAATAGCCGCACACTGTGGTAGGTGCCTGTAGTCCCAGCTACTTGGGAGGCTAAGGCAAGAGAATCACCTGAGCCTAAGAGTTTGAGGTTGCTGTGAGCTGTGATGTCACACCACTCTACCAAGGGCTGCAAAGTGAGACTGTGTCTCAAAATAAAAAAAAAAAAAGAAAGAAAGAAAAACAGGATAGGAAGGGCAAAAAGAAAGATCCTTCTTAGAATCCAATGGGTATACTTTACAAAAGTACTTCATAGTTTCAGTGAAAACATAATTAGGAACTGACTCTCTTTGAGGTCAATTCTGTTATAAAAGTGACCGAATAAAGAAAGTAGGAAGTGCCCCAAAGTAGGCAGTCGTTAGACACCAGCTAAAAGTCAGAGACCAAACCACATAAAAGCAACTAAGCATTGCCATCTTAACCAGGTCTCCTTTTACAAGCAAGAAGTGAAAGGTGGAAATCGACACAGGCAGTAGTAACCTCTCCAGATATGATAATACACTACACTCCATGGACTTATATTCTGGCAGGTACCTTCAGATATATGGGCTCTATTTTAATCAGAGACAACTGATTCATTAAATACTTATTATAAGTTTGGGCACTGTACACAGGGTATTTAATCTTAATAGCTCTATGGTGTAGGTATTATCAACATTATTTTCATATAGAAACAGACTCAGGGAGGGCAAGTAAACTGTTCAGTGCTATTTAGCTAGTAGATGGTGAAGAAACTAAATTCTAGAAGAGAACATGTAGGGAGACTCACTCAAGTTGCAAAGAAAACAACACACGGGCACCATACAGATATCTGTGTAAAAATCTCTCTTTTTACATCCTGAAGAGTCTAGACTCCAAGTTACTAACTTAATAATATATAGCATTGTGTAAGTGTGAAAACTTCTTGGAATTGGTGAGAAATATGAAATGGCCTCTGAGGAAGGTTTAGAAATAGGAGACCACAGGAGGCTGAAGGCCTCTAACAGATGGGATCTTTGCGACATCTCATACTACTCAACCAGGGACTGCCTGACATACAGGGCCAAGAAAGAATCTGCTACAAAGATGCTAAAACCAGACAAAAGTGAGAAAGCACGTTTCCTTTGGTTCTCTCTACATTTTGATGAGGCAAAAATTTTATAATACCCTGGCTCACTGGGCAACTGGGCTGAGCCAGGCAAGCATGAAGCTGGACTTTTCATTCTCTTTCAAGAATAGAATCAGAATTATATTGAAAGTTCATTAGGCAGGGCTGAAAAAAAAATCATCCCTGATTCTCTGACAGAAAAAGGTAAGTGATCCAAAAATATGGTGGATGCAACTATATACCGTATGATTTACCATTCCATTTCCAACTGAATACAATAAAAAAAGAGCTCAATTGGGTAGGTGGACTTACTCACTTTTTTGTATGTCCCCCACCTCCACTGCCCAGTCGCTACATCAGTGTGCGGAAGAATTGTATCTTTAAAATCTTTTGTAATCGGGCAGTGCCTATGGCTCAGTGAGTAGCGTGCCAGTCCCATATACTGAGGGTGGCGGGTTCGAATCTGACCCCAGCCAAACTGCAACAAAAAAATAGCGAGGCATTGTGGTGGGCGCCTATAGTCCCAGCTACTTGGGAGGCTGAGGCAAGAGAATCACCTAAGCCCAAGAGCTGCAGGTTGCTATGAGCTGTGACACCAGGGCACTCTACCGAGGGTGACAAAATGAGACTCTGTCTCAAAAAAAAAAAAAAAAAAATTCGTAATCAAAGACTGATACAAAATAAAGACTTGGTGATGTGTTCGCTTTGGCAGCACATATACTAAAATTGGAACGACACAGAGATTAGAATGGCCGCTGCGCAAGGATGACATGCAAATTCGTGAAGCGTTCCATATTTCTTCTTCTTAGCAAAGTATCTCAAGAATGAAAGAAAAAGTATCCAAAGTACACAGCCCTATTGTGAAACTAATTTATAGCTTTCATATGAAAGCTATAATCTAATTATAGGCTAAGAATATGGGGATGGGGAGGGGTTGGGGGTGGATGGGTGGTGGATGGGTGGAGGGAGGGTGATTTGAGGGATCACCTCTATGGTTTATCTTACAAGGGTACAAGCGAATCTTTCTAAAAGTAGAATATAAATGTCTTAACACAATAACTAAGAAAATGACATGAAGGCTATGTTAACCAGTTTGATGAAAATATTTCAAATTGTATATGAAAACACCACACTGTACCCCATGATTGTATTAATGCACACAGCTATCATTTAATAAAAAAAATAAAATAAACTGCTCCTATCAACTGAAAAAAAAAACACTTGGTGATTATTTACTGATTAAAAACACTGGTATCACAAACAATCATAAGATAACTATCCTCCTTTCTGTACACTGATATAGAAAAAAGAGGAAGGAATGATTGTCGGAGAATACCACAGTTTCTAAACATCATCTCTGGGAAAGAAATGGCTCTTTATGGCCTCGTCTCCTTTCACTGCTTCAGATGCTACGCTTTCCCAGCAGACTCAAGTACACAAGTTGGGTCTCCAGAAATGTGCCTTCTCTAAAAGCTGGGAAAACAATATTTTGAAATACCAGCCACCTTCTTCCAATTCCCCACCCCTGATATGGCCTTTACCTTCCACAGGGGAGGTTTTCAGTCTACTGCAGAGATTATGTACTCCTCCGTAGTGGTCATTAATCTGGGTCAGTGCATCATGTGAACGCAGCTCCATGAGCTTTCTTAGTTCCATTACCGTGCAGCTGATGTCCCCTTCGCGGATCGAGTTGGCCTGCATGGTTTGTTCTGCTGGGTTCGTCATTTTGTTTGCTGTTACCAAGCCCCTCAACCAGAGAAGATGTGGAGTTTCCCTTTAACTGATCAGCTTCTCCTACGTTTCTTCTTCCTACTTCTTGTTTCTCTGGGGACCCAGTTAGGAAATAGATCAAATATATCTTGTGCAATAAGCTTCAGAGTGGCAATCCCAAGCCTAGATCCTTTCTTCTGTATGAAGCCTGGCAGCGAAAAGGGAAGAAGATGGGGGAACTGAGTGGATGACGGACTTTGTGTCACGATGATTGGTGGTCTCAGGTGGTGATGGAAGTGGTTGTCCAGGGTAGGTAGGTTCCTAGCTTAGACCAACTTGTCCAGATGGAGGTATAAACAGGATGTACACGTTACCATGGCAGCAACCTTAGCAACAACCAGCAACTGTGGTGGTAGAGAGGCAGCAGGATGAGGAGGAAGAAAAGGAAGGCTTCCTGGATCCCAACGACAACTGGATCTATGGAATAAAGATTCAAAGATAGGCAAAAATAAATAATTAGATCAGTGATGAGGAGCCAGCATCTGCAAGGGCAAGAGGTACACATTCCAGTATAAGGGTTTAAGTGACAGTTGATGCCTGAGCTGAACTGATAGCTGAGGCCTAAGCTGAATGAACTGACTCAAGAGAGGTCCCTATCTCCCTGGGCAGCCCCAGCAGCCTGTAAACTCTAGTATAAAGAAATAATTTAAAATACAACCCAGTTTTCTCTCTTTTTTGAGACAGAGTCTTACTTTGTTGCTCTTGGTAGAGTGTCATGGCATCATAGCTCACAGCAACCTGAAACTCTTGGGCTCAAGTGATTTCTTGCCTCAGCCTTCCAACTAGCTGGGACTACAGGCATTGGACACAACACCCAGCTAGTTTTAGAGACCAGGTCTCGCTCTGGCTCGGGCTGATCTCAAACCCATGAGCTCAGACAATTCACCTGCCTCAGCCTCCCAGAGTGCTAGGATCACAGGCCTGAGCCACCGCATCCAGCCTACAACCCAGTTTTCATGTCTCACCTCTCCCAAACCAGCCAACACAAATCCCACAACTTCAGAAACTTGGAAATAAAAGGTTACGACTTCTAATGGCTTTAATGTCCTTTCTGTCTATTTGAGACACCTGTGACAAGGTCCTTTAGTCCAACTTTATCTAGGAGAGGTAAGAAGTGGTCAGAAAAAGGAGTTCAGACCCAAGTCATCTGAAGGGTGGCCCACCAGTCTGCCACCCTCTCCCACCCCCACCCCACTTTTTCCTACTCCCAACATACACATTTGCAAACCAGGAAAACAACCCAATGGAAGATGCCAAAATCTTCCAAAGCCCCTCAGAATACTAAGCCTCCAGCTGCATGGAAATCCTGCAGCCTGTTGCTGTTGTCAACTGGTCAGGTACCAAGTTTTGGTCGTGGGGATAAGTTCCACCTTCTTCCAAAGAGGCTTTTGGGGGAAAAGAGGGGAGTAAAATGCTCTGGCAGTTGGTGATACAGCGTGGAATCTTTTTCTCTTTTTGTCTCTTTAAAACTAACTTTCTTTCCTTTTCTAGACTCTCTCTTTTCTTTCTCTTTTCTTCT